TTGTGTCTTTTCAATCAGGCCAAGAAGAAGATAAAATAGAAACAACATAGTAAATTCCAACAGAAAACTAGCAATTGCGTACTTATCAGCTCCTGGAAAAGTGTACAAATACCATGTTAGCAAGACAGTGAAATGCCAACAGCAATAGAACAAGTTTGTTTCAGGCCTAACCATTTATCTAGCTACCATGGCCTTGAGAGTTGTTCAATTGCTGATCATATTTGTACTAGCCCTGGCCACCTACAAAAGGGTCCTTGCAAGTGATCCCGACATCCTTTCCTACTACATAGTCCCGGAAAATAACACAGTTGATGCTAATTTCTCTACTTACACTGGATTCCGGGACATATTCGATGATGTTCCTGGAACCTTTAACATAACGAAAGCTGCCTTGGCTGAGTTCCCTGCTCTTAATGGACAGAATGTGTCATACGCTGTGCTTAAATATCCTACGAACGAGGACTCTCCTGGTTGTAAAGAATTCGTCCTCGATCTCAACTCTTTGATTGGGGAAAATCCTAATAGAATCTTCAATTGCTTCATATTTATTCTGGATCTTTTTGCACTCAATTGAAACCTTCCTTCCCAAATAAAAAGATATTTAGAATACTTCGTTATTCTTGGCTTCTTCTTCTTACTCCCTCTAGCAATATAAATGTTTCTCTCTAGAAACTTCAACCGATTGACAAAATCAACCAGATTCTTGGCAACCTTTCAAGTGAAAACATTAATGCCCATAAAATCAGTCTTGAGACAAATTTTCTCAATTTGGATTTCTTCACTGTTCTGTTCAGTGAATTGTTATCGAAATTGCTTCGAACGCCCAAACAATCTTCATCCTCACACCCACCCTCGGCCGGCTGAACTTCTATTCCTTGTTGGTTCCTTGGAAGTAGAGTTCGTGGACAAGAAAAACGTTCTATATACTCAGAAGCTTAAAGTTGGAGACCTATTTGTGTTTCCTAAGGGATTAGTCCATTGCCAGTATAACTCATATGCTAATTTACCAGCCTACGCCATTTCAGCATTCGGAAGTGCAAATGCTGGAACAGTTTCAGTGCTTATATATATATGTTTGTGTTTG